GGATGATTGCATCTGTGCTGAACATGTGCAGACTTTTTTTTATTATTATTCCATAAACAGTACAGTAGTACCATTTACATAGCATTTACACTGTATTAGGTATTATAAGTAACCTAGAGATGATTTAGCATACATGGGAAGATATGCATAGGGTACATGCAAATACTGCGGCATTCTGTACAAGAGACTAGACTGAGCATCCTCAGGTTTGGCTATGCACTGGGAGTCCTGGAATCAATCCCCCACAGATACTGAGGGAAGCCTGTACTTTCTAGTTTCATTTAAGTTACAGACACTAAGCATTGTCCAAGACCGTAACCCTTGTTCACCTTTGCATGTCCTTTAGTTATGAAACTGGGACCAGAAGCTTTCAGATTTGATGGCGGTGTTGAAGCCATTGCTACAAGGCAAAATGAAAAATACTACATCTTACGGCCAGAAGTTATTGAGACCTACATGTATATGTGGCGACTGACTCATGATCCAAAGTACAGGAAATGGGCCTGGGAAGCTGTAGAGGTGATGTTTTAACCTTTGTATGTTTCTTATAGATAAACGTCTTACGAAGAAATATTCTGTGATACCTATAAATCTAGCATACTGACTTTTCTATAATTTTTAACGCTTTTACCAGAGTTTTCTCTACTCAGGACTGTGTGTTTTCAGTTAAGTCATTCTATATCCCTGGCATTAGCTTTGCTTTATATAATAGTGATATAAATACACCTACTAGTGGACATGGATATTGAAGGGTATCTAGAAAGGCATATCATAAAATTAAGTTTGCCTGACTATAGAAATGATGATCTCTTAATTCCACAAGGTGTTATGGCAACTTGGCGATATTTCACCTCTATTGTCTGGGTCAAGAAACCACTACGTGGTTTTTATCTATTAGTCTCTGGGCTTTAAAAATGCTAGTATATGCTTTTACTTAGAGTAAACTAGCTACTTAGATGTAACTTTTAGAAAGAACTTATAGAAGAATTACTTTGTATAAAGATATTCCTTCACGAGTCTCAGGTTTCTCTGAAAATCTGTAAGCTTTCCATATGCCCAGTGTTGTGTGGCAATTGCCTGTCACCTCTTGAGTCTCGTCCTGGAGGGTTGTGTATCATCTTCCTAAACTAACCGAGTGCACGCTGTGTGCTGGCTGCCAAGGAGGCGCTCTCCAGGATGTGCATCAAACAGTGTCTGTCTGCTTATCAGACTTACTCTGGAAGGAGTGGCAGGAAATTCAGGGGATAAGCACAAGCAAATGCTTTAATTATACTCTTTCATTCTCTGGCACTCTTTGTTAGAAAGTTAGCTATCTTTTAAAACTGTTCATTAGGAATGACTTCTCTCAGGAAATCTAAAATGAATATTGCCTTTGTGTAAAATTTAACTAATATCTTAGGAAGCCGTTCATGAATCTTATTTATTACTCTCTTCATTTGGTGTGTGCCTTATCATTAATCATCAGTCATTTTAAATAACAGTGATTCTTTATGCCTCTTTTTTTCTTTTTTGCACAGTTTTCTAATTACATTTAATCAGTGGTAATTGTAATTTCTTTAAATTTCTGTTTTTCCTCTGAAAAAAATATGGTAAAATTGAGATTCATCTAAGCTTTGGTGAAAGGGAATTATTTTGGTCTTGAATTGGCCAGCAAAGGAATTGAGTATCACTTTAAGTTGAAAATATCAGGAATAATGTATTTCATCAAATCTAAAACACCATAATTTAGAAGAAGCATCATTATTTTATATGAATTGAATATCAGTTTAAGTTGAAAATATCAAGAATAACATATTTCATCAAATCTACAACACTATAATTTGTAAGAAACATTTTATATACCACTGAGAAAGAATAACACTGCCAATTAAATTATGACATGCCAATTTTATAGATGTTAAAATGTGCAAATGTGTGACAGAGAAGTGATCAAAAATGGGAAGTAAATCTCTGGCTAAGTGGGTTTGCTTGATTTTTCAGGGGAGTTATTTGTGAAATAATAAGGTTGGTTTTATGTGTTATGATTTTTATCTCTCGTCAACTCCTGAGCATAATGTATGATGTGAAATTGTTTCCCTCTGTCATAACTCAGTGTTCCTCCCTGTTTTTGCTACTAGAAACTTCTGCTAGAACCTGAGCTATAGCAAGCAATGCCAGGGACTCTTGCCCTTTTTAAAGCACAAAAATCCTAGACTTGAAGGCGGGGTAGCATTTTCTTTTCCCTGTTTTACATCCCTGTAGCCCCCTGGGCTTCAGTGGCAGCCCAAGTGACAGTGCCCTTCATTACGGCAGCTCCCACCCCCAGCCCAATCCTTCTCATCTGTTCTGACTCAGACTCAAGACCACAGCTGGAAACCATGTCAGGAGAAGAAGGTGGAGGAACTTTTTCCCAGGGTGCTGGTTGTGGACTGGGAAGTGTGGAGGAGTTAACAGCCCCAGGGGCAGCCCTCAGCTAATGAGGTTTTGGATTTGATGGATAACTGTCCTAGTAGTCCTTCTTTCAAGCATAATTCTGCAGTGCACGCTCCATGGTTCCAGAGGGTTTCCAGCGGCAGCGAACCCCATTGCACACAGCTACGACCTACTCAATGTATTTCAGTGGCTCTTCTGTCCCTGTTTCACTCTCCCTGCTCGCTCACTTCCTGGTATCACCTCCCCAATAAACTTCCTGCATCCAACCCTTTTTCTCACGTTCTGTTTTTAAGAAAACCCATCTAAAACATAGGGAGTCTTAAAAATCACCTTGTCCAGGCTTCTACTCAAAGACAAGACCTCCTCTCCGTCTCTGCCAAATGGCTGTTGCTCATCAATGCAGAGACTTTGCAGCAAAGGGGAATGTACTACCTAATGAAGTAATTCATTCCCTTTTTTAATGGTTGATGGTGTTAAAAAGTTACTCCTTGTGAAGCCAGAATTTACAGTGTTCTGTGCTCCGGGAGTACTGGGGGGTGCTTTCTCATCTACATTTTGGCTGCTCAGATATCTGAATACAGCACATTCTGCCAGCCCTTCCCCTCCTGTTCCATCATTTCCCTCCACCTTCTCCTGATTTGGTTTCCAGCTGTGGTCTTTCAGGGCTGAACAGTGTGACTCAAAAACTTCTCAGTGTGATTTCCTACAGCCTACAGTCCAACTTGTTCTTTTAGTAGATTTATCAAACCTCTGGCTTACATCAAAATTATGGTCAGAAGATGTTACTACTACATTAGCTGCTGTAGAGTCACAATTCTTTTGTTCTGTACTTTGTTTCAAGCCATACTTGCAGCTTGTAAAGGATTTATAAGCCATCTTCCTATCTTCTAACAAATTACTCCCTTCCCAGCCTTCTTTCCCTGGCATACTTGAAAAACTGGCTTTCCATGTCTTAAACTTTTTAATAATAATGTTGAATAAGATATGGAAAAGTATATATAACCCAGCAGTACATCACTAGAGACTTCTTCCAGAGATTAACAGCAATCCATTAATCACAGGCATTCAAGCACTTATGAGT